GTCCCGCGGTGCCCCAGGGCAGGGGCAGGGGCAGGTGGGGCTGGGGCTGTCCCGCGGTGCCCCAGGGCAGGGGCAGGTGGGGCTGGGGCTGTCCCATGGTGCCCCAGGGCAGGGGCAGGTGCTGGTGGGGCTGGGGCTGCCCCGCGGTGCCCCAGGGCAGGGGCAGGGGCAGGTGGGGCTGGGGCTGTCCCGCGGTGCCCCAGGGCAGGGGCAGGTGGGGCTGGGGCTGTCCCGCGGTGCCCCAGCACGCTCCAGGCAGGCTGGCGGATGGGAGCGGGAGGCGTGCACCGGCCCCAGGAGGGAGCCGTTCGCCGGCCCCAGGAGGGAGCCGTTTGCCGGGCCAGGGCAGTGGCGCCGTCTCACCTCCGTGTCCTCCAGCTTGTCCTCCAACTGCAGGATGCTGAGCTGTAGCATGCGCCAGTGGGTCTGGGCCTCCCGCCTCTCGGCGCGCAGCACCTCCCCCAGCAGCAGATCCTCCAGCGCTGACTGGCTGAGGCTCAAGTCAATCATCGTCAGGCCCTTCAGGAGGGCGTGGTCCATCTCTGCACAGAAACAAGCCCAGGGCAGGCAGTGAGGGCACTTGGGGCTGGGGGCTGCCGTGGGCTGAGCCGGCGTGTCTGGGCCACACTGATTTTACAGCTGGGGAATACTGGGCCGTGGGGGAAGAGGAGGAGTAGGGGCAGGGGCAGGGGCAGGGCCCTGTGGTGAGGGGGGCTTAAGGCCCACCTCCGCTCCCCACTGGGAAGAGGCTGGCACTGGTAGCAGGAGCATCAGCTCCCCCACCATGCAACACAGCCACTGCCACTCCATGCCTGCCCCAGGCTACTGTGCCCATGCTAAGAACTGGGGGCTGGCTATCCCAGCCACACTCCCCTGTCAGCATTCACAGACCACAGTAGGAACAGTCCCAGTTCGTCACAGAGCCTGATGCAGGGGGGAAGGAGGTGGGGCGTGGTGAGTGCTTCCCAAGCAGTGTCAGCTGGAGGTGGGTATGGGAGCCCACCTAAACAAGGACTGTAGGCCTGCTCTCCCAGACCCAGCCCTGCCCTGGAGGCCAGGGAGAGACACAGCCAGGGTGACCGTATGACCCGGAGCCCGCGTAGCAGCCCTGCGAATGTCACTGATGGTACGGGACCCAGGAAAGCCGCCGCTGCTGCTGCTTGTGCCCATGGAAAATGTGGGACGATGCTCAGAGAGGAGTATTAGCCACGGGGCGAAGAAATCCCAGGGAAGTCACAGCTATTCCTTTCATTCTTTCAGCCAAGGAACTAGCTGTGGCGATAACTGAAACGCCGGCGCCCTGCCCATCGAGGGGCCGTGTGAGGGGGAGGTTGGGAAGAAAGGTGGCAGATAGATCCTTGTAGGAAACTCTCCCGGGAGGGTCGGCCAGCCAGGCCCGGGGCAGAGACGTGATCGCTATTAAAACGCTCGCTGCACTGAGAGGAACCAACAAGCAGGGGGCAAAAGGAGGTCGTGGCACTGGATCTTCAACAGGAGGGGAAAGTCTGTGCAGACCTCTCAGAAACCTGGATGTCCCCACAGACCTGCCCTCTGTAGGGAGCGGAAATGCTGAGCTAGCAGCCAGGCGAACTCTAGTGAACTCATGGAAGGAAAGGCCTTGCTCTTTTAAGTGACCCGATAATACAGATAAACTGCATGGGAGCCTGTGAAGAGAGATTCCTTTGCTGGGACCATGGGCAAAGCCTGTTCCACGTCATGCGGCAAGCAGACCTGGTAGAGGACACGAACCACAGCCGAGCAGGCAGATATTGACGATCTAACCCTTGAGCAGCGAGGAGAGGGCTGGTCTGCAGAATCTGGCCATAGTCCTGAGAAATTTTGTTTGGTTCCTGAGGGAGAGGCCTTAGATCCCAACTGGGGAGGTTCAAAAGGTCGGCGAACCAGTGAGGCTGAGGCCAAGCCAGCAATAAAAACGGCACAATCTTGTGCGAGTCACAGATGTGTATCGTGCGCACCTAGGGACCTTTCAGAACCACTGGCTCAGGACCTGCCCCTCCTGGGCAGGGCACTTCAAGCTGGCTTATAGTCAAGGGGTCTCCCTCACTGCGCATGTTGCTCCGTACAAGTGCTCGCAGACGACACTGTGGTGATGTTTTATCTCACAGGCAGGGAAGGGGCCAGGGCAGACCCCGCACACCAAGAGGTGTTGGCCCTCTGGCATCGCTGCATCAAGAACAGAATCCCCCTTTGAGCGTCTCGGCATGCCCTGGTGGACTGCCTCAGCAGGTCTTTCAGCAGAGCTCAGAGGGCCAGAGAAGGTAGAATTGGAGCAAATGGGAGCGCTGTGGCACATTGGCAGGGCTCATCCACCTGTTCAGGGAGGACCGAAGGGCCACACGTACGCGCCAGCATGTCCACAGATGATAGAGGGGCGCTAGACAGACATCAGTCACAGCTGCATGACTCAGGGGATGTCTGGCATGCGGAGTTACATAGGTGCGAACTGCCATGAGTCCGGTGGAGAGAAAGTGGTGTATCTGCAGGGACGGTGGGTGAGGCTACTTCCTCTTTACAGTGGTGCTCTAGCCCCCCAAAGACTTCAGGGCTGCCCTGAAATCGCTAGGAGTTTGCGGAGCCTGAGCTGGACCTGCCAAAGGCAGGTCCTCTGTTGTTCGTTGCACTTCAGCCAGGATGCCCCAAGCTTGCAGCAATGCAGCACGATGCAGAATAACGGCCATGGCCATCACCTGAGCTGCTGAGTCCACCTCATCCAAAGCACATGCGGAGAGGAGCAGGCAGGCAGACAGCCCTCATGTCCTGCAAGTTCTTAGGTTGTAGGGACAAGTCTCTGATTCAGAAAGTTGAGGAAACAACTAGGGAGGCATCCATTTTGGATCTGGTTTTGACCAACGGGGATGAATTAGTTGCAAAGTGAAGGTGGTTGGGAACTTGGGAGGAAGTGATCATGGTCTGATAGAATTCAAGGTCCTATGGAAAGGAGGACATGAGAACAGGAAAACAAGGACACTGGACTTCAGAAAGGTGGATTTCAACCGACTCAGAGAAGTAATAGGCACGGTCCCATGGAAAGACCAATTAGGAATCAAAGGAGTCAAAGGAGCTGGCAGGTCCGAAACGGGGTAATACTAGATGCTTAACATCAAGCTATTCCGACGCAGAGCAAAGATAAGAAGAGGCAGAGGAGGCCAATGTGGCTGCACAAGAAGCTTTTTAGCCATCTAGAGGGATCCATACCGGAAATGGAAGGTGGGGCATGTCATCAAAGAAGCGTACACGGGAATAGTGCGAACGTGTAGGGACAAAATCAGGAAAGCCACGGCAAAGAATGAGTTACAGCTGGCAAGGAATGTTAGAGACAACAAGAAGGGGTTCTTCAAATATGTCAGACAAAAAAGAAAGATCAGGGATGGTGTGGGAAGGCAGAGTTGCTGAATGCCGACGTTGCTTCAGTCTTCTCATTCTAGCAGTGGAGATATGTCTCCAGATTTTGCATCTGTTGTTCTGGCAGGGGCTGGTGCGGCATTGAGTTGGTGTGTCCTGGTCTGTGGGGAGCTTGCTTCTGATGATGAGCTTGGAGAGGTTGAGGGATTGTTTGAAGGCCAGCAGTGGGGGTTCAAGAGAAATTTATTTCCGGATGGGGTCATCCTTTGAAACATTTGTGGCCTCTCTGTCAGACTCCCCACTGGGGAACCAGCTCCTGGGATGGGGCAGGCAATGGCTGTAGCTCTTTGAGGATACCCTGTATGGGTTGCAGCCTAGGGTGGTAGGTGATCACTAAGGGTGTGGGGGTTTTATTTCTGTATTGAAGCGGGTTCTCTCGGGGTATTTGGGTGGCCTGTTCCAAGATGCAATCTACTTCTCTGGTAGAGTGTCCTTGTTTGGTGAAGGCGGTTTTGAGTGCGTTAAGGTATATAACTCACACTTTCTCCTCAGAGCATATACTGTGGTATCTGAGTGCCTGGCTGTAGATCACAGATTTCTTGGTGTGTTTGGGATGGTTACTGGATCTATGAAGGTAGGTGTGGTGATCCGTGGGTTTCTTGTAAGTGCGTCTGACGTATTCACCCATGAAAGCTTATGCTCCAATACTTCTGTTAGTCTATAAGGTGCCACAGGACTCTTTGTCAATTTTTGTAAATAATTGTCTGTAGGGTTCCATCATTGAAGCTGATTGTGGTGTCCAGGAAATTGAGCTGGTGGGAGAGTGTTCCAGAGAGAGGTGGTGGTTGTTGGAGTTGTGGTGGAAATCCATGATGGAGTTTAAGCCGTGCGTCCAGAATATGAAAATGTCATCGACGTATCTCAGGTATATCATTGGTTTCTTGGTACATTTGTCCAAAAATTCTCCTTCAAGGTGGCCCATGATTATCATAGAATCATAGAATATCAGGGTTGGAAGGGACCTCAGGAGGCATCTAGTCCAACCCCCTGCTCAAAGCAGGACCAATTCCCAACTAAATCATCCCAGCCAGGGCTTTGTCAAGCCTGACCTTAAAAACCTCTAAGGAAGGAGATTCCACCACCTCCCTAGGTAACCCATTCCAGTGCTTCACCACCCTCCTAGTGAAAAAGTTTTTCCTAATATCCAACCTGGACCTCCCCCATTGCAACTTGAGACCATTACTCCTTGTTCTGTCATCTGGTACCACTGAGAACAGCCGAGCTCCATCCTCTTTGGAACCCCCCTTCAGGTAGTTGAAAGCAGCTATCAAATCCCCCCTCATTCTTCTCTTCTGCAGGCTAAACAATCCCAGTTTCCTCAGCCTCTCCTCATAAGTCATGTGCTCCAGCAACCTAATCATTTTTGTTGCCCTCCGCTGGACTCTTTCCAATTTTTCCACATCCTTCTTGTAGTGTGGGGCCCAAAACTGGACACAGTACTCCAGGTGTGGCCTCACCAATGCTGAATCGAGGGGAATAATCACATCCTCCGATCTGCTGGCAATGCCCCTACTTATACAGCCCATAATGCCGTTAGCCTTCTTGGCAACAAGGGCACACTGTCGACTCATATCCAGCTTCTCATCCACTGTAACCCCTAGGTCCTTTTCTGCAGAACTGCTGCCTAGCCATTCGGTCCCTAGTCTGTAGCAGTGCATGGGATTCTTCCGTCCTAAGTGCAGGACTCTGCACTTGTCCTTGTTGAACCTCATCAGATTTCTTTTGGCCCCAATTAGTGATAGTCGTTGAGGTATAGATTCGATAGTGGCATCAGAGACAGTTAACTCGTGGTTCAGGAGTGACTCAAAATGCTCCTTCCATCTGGCTGTGATGGCTTCGCTGTCCTTAAAACACATTGACCCATCTTGGGCTCGGTGTGGTGTGGGACCATGGGAGCATGGACCATAAATGGCTCTTATTGCCTGAAAAAAGCTCCTCATGTCATGTTTATCAGCATAAAGCTCAATCTCTTCGGCCTTTTCTCACCATCACTTATTTTTGATGTCGTGGATTTTCCTTTGGGCTTCAGCCTTGAGTTGCTTGTACGGCTCTTTCTTCTGCTGGTGTGATATGTCGTTTTGCCACACGCAATAAGCTTTTCTTTTCTCGTCGAGCAGGCCCTGAATCTCAGCATCATTCTCATCAAACCAATCTTGGTGATGGTGGGTGACAGAGTCAATGGACTCAGCACATGCCAAGAGAATGGCAGCCTTTAATCTCTTCCAGAAATTTTCATTATAATCATCAGCGGTAGGCATAGCGGCGAACCTCTCTTGGAGATACTGCTGAAGTTTCTCCCAAGTCACTATATCTCGAAGGGACTTGATGCTGAATTTATTTCGTACTGATTTTGCCTATTTGCGATGCCTTCAGGTGATCTGGAAAGTCATGATTGAGCTAACAAGGCAATGGTCTGTCCAACATGGCTCTCGTGATGCAGACATCCTTCTGATCTCGAGCTCTGACAAGAACAGTCAAGAAGGTGCCAATGCCTGGAGTGAGGGTTTCTCCAGGTGGTCTTACACTTCTCACCTTGTCTAAAGAGGGTGTTTGTGATGATCAGGCCATGTTCTACGCATTTCCTACTCCTTCTGTTCTGATAGAGCAATTCCAGAGATCTGACTCATGACAGACTGTTGCGTTAAAATCTCTGGGGAGAATGATCTTGTCCTCCTTGGGAATGTTGGTCAAGACTCTGTCAAGATCTGTATAGAATTGTTCCTTGATATCCTTGACAGCATTGAGTGTTGGGGCATATGCGCTGATGACAGCAGCAGACTGGTTGTTGCTGAGCTTAAGACAAATAGACATAAGACGTTCATTGGTTCTTATAGGAAATTCTGTAAACTGAATGACAAACTTATTCCTAATAGCAAAACTGACACCATGAATGTGCCTGTCCTTGGCAGATTTTCCTTTCTAGAAAAAGGTGAAGCTTCCACCTTCGTCTCTCAGTTGACCTTCATCTGGGCACTTGTCTCACTCAGGGCAGCGATGTCAATGTTATATCTTGCAAGTTCCCTGGCGACGATAGCAGATCTTCTTTCCAGCCATACATTATCTTTGTTATCCATCAGGGTGAGAACGTTCCATGTAACAAAAGTCACCATCTTTTTATAGCTTCAAACACAGGCAGATCCCACTGGCCATGTGTGACGAACTGGGACTGTTCTTACTGTGGTGTGTGAATGCTGACAGGGGAGTGTGGCTGGGATAGTCTGCATTGGGGGATGGAAGACTGACGGACGGAGAATACCTGAGCATGTAACATGAGAACCCAGGAAGGGGTTGGAGACCAGGTGACACCTTGGCCCGGGAAACTGAACAAAGGCTGTGGGAGGGGTCGCTGAAGGCAGAGTGCTGGAAGCGGGCTGGTGAGATGGCTGGGAGGCAGAGATGGCTCTGACCTCCCAAGGGGGGCTGGGTGGTGCAACGCAGGGAACCCCAAGCTGGGGGCTAAGCTCCCTGAACCTCCCAGAGGGACCTAATTGAGGGGGTCTGGTCGTACCTACACGCTCTGCTTGAGACTGTGTTCCTGTCCTTAAATAAACCTTCTGCTTTACTGGCTGGTTGAGAGTCGCAGTGAATCTCAGGAAGAGGGGTGCAGGGCCCTGACTCCCCCACACTCCGTGACACCATGGTAATCCAGCCAGGAGTGGATGAGACAGCCTAGGTTTAGGGCATCTTTTCCAGCCCTCTCCCAGTGCGGGGTGAGCAGAGGGGATCCTAAAGAGGACTGCTCAGTTGCAATAGCAGCTGCCGAATTGCATCCGTCTCAGTCCAGGTGCCAGACGACCATCTAACTACCGCCACCTAAAGCAGATTCGTGGTTAGGAACGGCCAGATTCACTAACCCTGTCCCCGTCACCACTAGTCCATCGCCACAGGGCTGGGAAGGTTGCAAAGATGTTATTTCCCGTGGTAGATGCCTGTGCGCGACTTCTATTAGCATGGGGAAGCTGGTGCACCTACATGATCATGACAAGCTGGAGGTCTGGGGCCCCGTGGCAGGAAAAGTCTGAGACGACTGGAGATCTCTAACTTGCTGCAGCCTTCATCTGCTTTCACAGCCTTTGAGATCCGAAGACCTTCTTCTGCTTGATCCACCATTGAGGACTTGGGGGATTGGACCGTGCTTTGTCTGGGACCTCCCCTCAGACCTGTTTGCCTTGGGAGACCCTACCAGGAGCATAAAGCTCCCGACCATATAGCTCTAAGGATGGACCCCTGTGTACTCCTGTGCACGCTGCCAGCTGACATCAAGAAGTCTGTGGGTCACACCAGATGATCTAATGGTCCCTTCTGGCCTTAAGCGCTATGAATCGCCCATGCCAGTCACAGCACTGAACAGCTGCTGGAGAGAGAACGGAAGTCAGCACCGTGCCTCTCCACTATCGCCGCCTTTCGACCTGTCAGACACAGGGTCCTTCTCCCCTGGCCAGGAGGCCAAAACCCAAGGGCCAGTTAGGTCCCAGCTCCTCTCAGAGCCACTGGGAACTCTGGACCATTCCTGGTAGGACTGAGCTACGTCTTTGGAGCAGGGATATCTCTGGGCAGCACTGGATGGCCCCTATGCTAAAGACTATACAAAGAGCAGAGAATTGCCATGAAAATCCGCTTCCTTTTACAGCCTGGGGACCCCGCACCAAGGGGCCCAGCGGACGCTGCTCTCCAGAGGAGCTCATGGGCCAGGGACTTACCCGGAATGGGGATCCCACCACAGAACCGGGATCCCCGGCTTGACAAAGCCCTGGCTGGGATGATTTAGCTGGGAATTGGTCCTGCTTTGAGCAGGGGGTTGGACTAGATGACCTCTTGAGGTCCCTTCCAACTCTGATATTCTATGATTCTATGAGAACAGCTCATCAGTGACTGTCCCTGGGGGAAGCTGCCAACCCTGACAGTGGGCACAAGCCAAGGGACCATGCCTAGCCAAAGGAGAGAGACCCAGACCCCCCAGCAAGCACTGGGGGGAGATGCCCGCAGAGCAGAAATGGCTGAAGCACATTCTGAGGCGCAGAGGGGCAGTGAATGGGGCTGGCGTCTGCAATGGAAGATGGGGACTGCACTGGAGCAGGGAGATGGAGCCCCTCCAGCACCCTGTGCTCAGCCCTGCCCCTCCCTCCCTCCCCAAATGGCCCAGCCAGGCCAAGTCCTGGAAGAGAGGGGAAGAGCTAACCCTGCTTCGCCCAGCTCAGTGTGGGGGCTGTCGCTGATCCCTGGTACGGAGCCCCAGGGGGAGGAGCAAGGGGGGAGTCTCATGGGAGCTTCCTGCAGGGAGACAGATTCAGAGAGGCAGTGTCCCTGGGGGGTGGGAATCATAGAATCATAGAATATCAGGGTTGGAAGGGACCTCAGGAGGTATCTAGTCCAACCCCCTGCTCAAAGCGGGAACAACCCCAACTAAATCATCCCAGCCAGGGCTTTGTCAAGCCTGACCTTAAAAACCTCTAAGGATGGAGATTCCACCACTTCTCTAGGGAACCCATTCCAGTGCTTCACCACCCTCCTAGTGAAAAGACGGTTACTCACCGTTGTAACTGTTGTTCTTCGAGATGTGTTGCTCATATCCATTCCATTAGGTGTGTGCGCGCCGCGTGCACGATCGTCGGA